AGGAGGGGGAGGGAGAGCTGGTTATGTTCATTCCTGGGCATGTACATGCATACCATTTATTTGCAAATTGAGGTGCTTAAGACAGCTCTGCGTGCAACAGTCAGGAGCAACTCGACGCCTTTTATTGCACAATCAAATCTTTTAAGAATAAGCCATGTGTAATAGGGAGCGTTATAGTTTTTCTCTACTGTGAAGTACCTTGAAGATAGTTAAGTAATTGGCAATTATTTCTCAAAGCTCCTTATTTACCAATCCTATTTTTGTTCAGTCTTTTAAAGCTTAAAATTAGAATGAGAAAACATGTAAACGCAGCCTCCCTCCCTGTATCAAAAAACCTTGCAAGGAATCCATCAGCAGCCTCTGAGGGAAGGAACCTGTTGATCTGAGACTCATCCCTTCTCCACAAAGGGAGAGCTGTCGGTCCAGGCAGGTGCTCCATGTCCTAGCAATGGAGAGTTTTGCTTAAGGACAGCAGCTGCTAAGCTCAGTCAGCTTCTAGCTGGCGTGTCCCGAGATGGAGTGGCACTGCTGGCCCCAGAACTCTGAGAGCTCACTTGCCCTCTGACACCTGGCTGCCTGGAAGCACTTCCACCATCCCTTACTGGCTTCCCTCGCTCTTCCTCACGCTGGTGTGCGGGTGGCTCACGTGACCAAGCCCTGAGGGACGATGGCAGCTCCTGGCTTCAAAAATGAGTTTAAGAAGGGGATGAAGGAAAGCCATTCTAAAAGCTCATTGCCCTTCAGCTATAATACTTTCTGTTCCTCCGGCCCCTTCCATGGTTTCCACCTTGGGGCCTTTGGACTTGAACCTCCTCAACCTGGGTTGCTTTCCGATCAGATGGTCACAAGGCTGGCTCTTCCCATTCTCCAGGCTCTTGCAAACATCGCTCTTTAAAGAAGCCTTTGCCTTGCCACCCAAGCAAAGCTACCTATCCTCAGTCACTCTGTCGCTGACTTGGTTTTATTTGCCCTCGGCACACATCTTGGTTGGTTGTTTTTATGTATCTGATTTTGTCCTCTGACTAGAATGGTAGTTCCATGTGGACAGAAAGACCACGTCAATCTTATTCCTACTGTAGACTCAGTATCATTAATCCTAATTGGCATACATTAATCAGAAATCTGCAAGAATGAATAAATACACAATGAACAGATGAACAAGACAATCTGGCAGAGGACCAGTGGGCAAGGTCAAAGCAGACGCTGTGACTTGTCGTGAGCACACGCTGCTGTGCTGTTTGTTTGCCTGTGGGACCAGGCTGAGCCCCATGGGCATGAAGCAGGGCCATGGAGAACGTGGCGTTTTACTCAGAGCTCCATATGTAAAAAACACTCCAAAAATGATTTGTAGGAGATGCCTGAAAGTGAAATAGAGAAAGGGGAGGAAAAAAGAATATTTGGATATCAGCAAGGTAGTTCTGCCAACCTAATTATGCCCTGTGACATGTAACTGTGGACTGCTGAAAGACAAATGAGGAAGCAAAGCATGTATTCTAAACACACTCACAAGGAAGACTGAGGTACTAATTTTTAAGCAACCATCATAAATCTGGTTTCAGGATATTTTCCCACTAACATTATTATTATTATAACAAAGAGTGTAAGCATAATGATGAGATCCGTTCATGCATTTCTCAATGCCTAGGAAATCAGGCTCACTCGTGAATCCCCAGCTGAGATGTCTGAGAAAAGACCAGGTTGCAATGGACAAAAAACTCTGGGGAGGGAGGGCGTGTATGGGAGTGGAGGGGGGGGGGGGATGATATGATATATATACATATAATGCCTTAATAAAAAAAAAAAGTATAAATAAAATAAAATAAAAAAGACATACCAGAAGAAAAACAACAAATATTCAGAAAATAAATTTAAAAGAAAGAAAGAAAAGTCCAGGTTGCAGTGGAAAGGGCGGAACACTCATGATACCCACACGAAGACAACTAGCTGTTCTTCAATGGAGAGCCATTCAAAGCGCATTCAGACCTTTGGATGGACGTCAAATCACACAACCCACAAACTGTACCCTCCATAGCTCCTTATGTGGTGATCAGCGGAGCAAAACACAAAGCCCGGACTTACGAAATGAGAGAAGTATGGGAATGGAACTTCCACTAGTGTTTTAAAAACAAACTGGTGATTTTTCTCCGAATCAGAATGGAAGGGAAGCATCTATTCCGTGGAACGGTGATTCAGAAGAGGGTTGGAGGGGGTGTTCATAGGTCATAGGTCTAATGATTTGGGGCACCTATTCTATTACTAGGTGTCAAAAATCATTAAATGCAGAACTGACAAATGTTCTAGTTACTGTTGTGTTTGAAAAACATTCCGGATTCTAAGAAGATGTTTGTATATTACTTACCTTCTTTTAAACTGATTTGTCATTTCATACATTCAAGTTGAACAAATATGTTTTCCCTAACTTCACTGAATATCAGAATCAGGCTCAAAAACAGACTTAGAGAAAGAGTCTTAAGATTATTCATACAACCTATGACATATAATATTAAAAATACAGTGCAATCATTATCTATATCATCCAATTAAAAAAAAACAACTACTTAACATGGTTATTAACAATTTACCCATTTTAGTTCATATGGAATTTTAATGTCATTTACCGAAAAAAAAAAAAAAAAAAAAAGAATTCTAAAATGATATAAAATGTGATTCAATATGATTAACCCCTAATCACTATAGTAGTCTAAAGGTGTGGAATTTATAACCTTGCATGTATGTTTACAAAGTGTGGACTCAGGGAAAAACATTTAATTTACCAGAAACTCCTTTGATCTCTGATGCATACGAACAAGCAGGACAGTGACAAGTTTCAGTGTGAAGGTCTTTTCCGATGGCTCTGACTGGCCTTGATGTTTCTCTGTTCCTATTTTGGGCACGAAATTGACCTAGAAGACTGTCATTTTTGTCCCAGCTTTGCTTTCCAGAGCCCCAAGCAAAGCCATCACCATAAATCAGGCAGCAGGACCCCGAGAGCCAACTGAGTCATAAACCCCACTTGGTCACATGTGCTCAAGGTGTTGGGATCCCAAGAGAGTGACGCCAAACAAGTGGAATCAATTTAGGTCAGAGTTAGAAAAACAGAGTGCTCCCCTCTCCCGCCCCCGCCGCTGGCAGTGGAAGATACCACAGCCCTGCCCACTCAAACACGGGGAACAGTAACTAAGCCCAGGAAAATATCTAGGCCAGGGCAAACTCTTTCCACAGTCCAACAAGAAGGAAAAAAGAAAAGAAAAAAAATGATATTTGACAACCCACAAATGTTTAAGTGTGTGGTTCTCCTGTTCAGCATGAAAGCACTCTTGTTGCTGCTAAGTTATTATTACCATCACATTTTTCACATTTGTGCCCACTACCATTTAGCCTTAGGGTATTTAGGCTCATTGCTTTAAAAACACAGTGTTAAGCATGTTTAAATCACTTTAAATATCTCAAAAAGCAGCAAACACACAGCCTACCTGCTTGGGCACGCAAACTTGAAAAGAAAAGCTTTACAGAATGGCCCGCAGGTCAGCCAGTCCTGGCCGAGGCAGACGGTCAGGAAAGAGCGACAGAAAACAAGGCCCTCTGGAGAGCCTCCGCCTGGCTTCCCTCGGGTCAGCTGAACTGTGAGCAAACATGCCCTGCAAGCTGCACTCTCATAAAGTGCTGAAAACTCCCCACAGACACAGCCCCTCAAAACTGTGTACAAATGAGATGCGTTTAATGAACGACCCTTTCTTTGCCAATAATTCTGCTTAAATTAAGTCCAGCAGACTCTTCAAAGGGACCAAAGAAGCCCGCTTGTTAAGAAGGATTCTATATATAGACATCCAAGACAATTCTATGATGCATGTAACCAAATATATATAATTATCCTAGCTCCTACATTCCCATCATCTTCATAAATATAGAATAAAAATCAGCCTGAGTGACTTTCTCAGACCTCCGCAAGGATTAAGACTAGCCAGTCAGCTCTTTAAAAGTATACGTATGTAGTAAAGATCAAAAGCAAATGTTCTGGACAGTTCTTTTCTACTCATGGGTTTTTACTAAGAATGTGTGCAGTTTTCAGGGAAAACACCACAAATGACAGCTGTTCCAAAGCATGGAAATTAATTGGCAGCAGGAATTTCCTTGACTAATAGGGAAAAACTTAAAGTCACATGTTTTGATGAGCTTATTTTTTTCCCATCTTTAGTCAAGCATATTCACTGTTAATGATTAAGATTTTCAAACAGAAATAAAACCAAGTACAATGCTGAGTGAAATCCAGCTATTCCTGACTGAACAACGGCACTAACGAATGAATTTTAGGTGTAAATAATTCATAGGGAAAGGTTCCACTTGCAGGCCTTGATTTTTATAGGAACTAAACTATGACAACAATAAGAAGAACAATACAGTGACTGTATTGAACATCAGGAGTAAGACAAGCATCTCCCGCTCCCACTCCATTCCCAGGAAGCTGCCAGCTTTGAGCTGTTTTGCTAGCAGTAGGGATGGATTTACACTGATCCATCCGCAGTCTCTCTGACACGGGGGCTCTTAAGGCATTGCCCTTGCGACGATGTGAGAAGGGATGAGACAGCTGGTCAGGATTAGGCGAACAGCCTATGGCCCTGAAACCAGGTTGTGTCACCCTGCCCAGTATTTTGACCTTAGGATCATGAGCATTATGCTCTCACCACCTAAGCTAACCAGTCACTGATCAGCCACGATCCAGCATACAACACTCTGGGGACACCATGTCTTCTGAATCCTAGTGACAATGTCATTCTATTTTTAAGGCAGCTGAATGCAGCCCAAGACACCCAGAGGCTCATGCATGATAGAGTCTATGCACAGACTGTCCCTCAAGGCAGCAATGAGATGTCCAAGCACAAGCAATCATGGCCCTTCCATCCTAATCAAATGACAGCTCTGTCAGAGCTCAGGAAAAGCAAGAAACAGTCACAGAATTCCCCAAGCATGTTCTCTCCAAGTGCCACAATGGAACAATGTACCTGGCCATCCCCAGGCTTGGAAAGTTGGCAGGAACGATGAGCACATCCAGCCGGGAGAATGGGTGTGTCCCCAGCACAGAGTGTGCTGCTGAGAGGCAAGGAGACAGCAGCTGCAGAAGGGTCTCCTGGCAGGCACCTGTGAGGCTCACGGGGGCGAAGGCCCGGTGAGGAATGACCTCCTGGGTTGTGGCAGAAGGGTTCTGGAAGCGGCAGGGGTATTCCACGTGGCCACAGACACCAACACACCTGGAGACAACATAAAACAAACAGATGCATTTATGGTAAATAGGTTGATGCTTCTCGCTGTGGAGGTGAGCAGCTTTCACAGGCACGGGCAACTTCTAGGAGAGAGCAGTCCACAGGTTCCCAAGCAAAAACCATACTTGAGTTCTTTGGTCGCCTAATCTATGCAGCCGTGATAAAACACAGGTGGAAATACTTCTGATTGTGCTCAACTGTTGGAGTAATTTCAATCTAAGCTAAGTGAAAGTAGTAAAAACTTGTTTTAGAATAAGTGGGGGAAAAGCCCCAGGACTCAAAACAGTAAAACAACTTTCAAATATCACTATGGAAAAAAATCCTCTCCAAATCAGGGACGATTCATAACTCAGGAAGGAAGGGATGGTGCAGCCAATTCAGTAAAGATTGAATTCTGGAATTTGCTAGAATAAACGACGTGGGTTTTGGTAGAGAACAATGAAGCAAATGACAGTACAGCTTCCAATTTCAAAAGAGCACAATCCATTCTACTGAAAAGTAGTCTAGGCGGTTCTTTACAAAGACCATCAAAAGGTGTGCTATTAAGGAATACAGAGGCGCTTTCCCCCCCAATATATTTATTATTGATTGATTTTAGAGAGGGAGAGAGAGAAAGGAAGGGAGGGAGGGAGAGAGTGACAGTGATTTGTTGGTCTACTTATTTTAGTATTCACTGGTTGCTTCCTGTGTGTGCTCTGACAGGGGACTGAATCCGAAACCTTGGACAATGATCTAACCAACTGAAATACTGGCCTGGGTCTACAGAAGCACTTTTGTATAGATTTTCACCAATCCTTTTTCAATACAAATGTAATTAAATCAGCTTTTTAAAGAAACAGTTCAGAGCCCAGCCTGCACCCTCTGGCCGCTGTCCTTTATTCTACCAAAGGTGGGGCTGAAAAAGAATTCCTTTAACCTGACTCACAGGTCTCAAGAGAACCATCTATGCAAAGAAATCCACATCAAAGGGAACTATTTTTTCACTTGTTAACAGGTCTTTTATTCAAACACTAGTGACCCAGTGCACAAAATTCATGCACATTAAAAGGGGATTACTTAGAGAAAATAATTTAATATTGCTATTTGCCCTTTCTCTATAATAGAAGTGTCAGAGATGGAAGAAAATTAGTAAAATGTATATGAAAACCTTCCTCCTGCCAGAGTCTGGGGCTCACCATGGGACCCAGATGCACCTAAAAATCACGTGAGACCCAGACCCAGCTGCGCTCCCCGCACCGCCACATTGGGCTAGATACAGACCCAGACAGTCTGACCCTTATCAAGCCCTGCTGGGCAGGGGGCGTAACCTCAGGTCCTCTGGCCCAGCACCAGGACAGGGGGCATGGCTTGAGGTCCCGCAGCCTAGACTGGTGTAGGGGGCATGCCTTGAAGTCCTCCATCAAGCCCTGCCAGGTGGGGGGCATGGCCTGAGGTCCCTGTCAAGCCCTGCTGGGTGGGGGGCACCGCCTAAGGTCCCCAGTCAAGCCCAGCCAGGCAGGGAGGTGCAGTCTCAGGTCCCCTGGCCCGGTGCTGGGGCGAAGGGGCGTGGCCTGAGGTCTCCTATCAAGCCCCGCTGGGCGGGGTTGCAGTCTGAGGTCCCCCAGCTTGGTGCTGGGGGGGGAGGCGAGGCCTGAGGTCCCCTGACATAGTGCTGGGGCGGGGGGAGCAGCCTGAGGTCCCCTAGCCCGGCACCAGGATGGCAAGCACACCTTGAGGTCCCCTGTCAAGCCTTGTCAGGTGGGGGACACAGCCTGAGGTTCCCTGTCAAGTCCCATGGAGCAGGAGAGGGCATAGCCTCAGGTCCCTACTGATTGCTTATGGGAATTTGACCTCAGCTTTGGGTGCAGCCAGCTTTGTGATGAAGTGATGGTCAATTAGCATTTTCCCTCTTTTTTAGATAGGATAAGGAAACAGTCCTCTACTTTTAATTTATAAATTATATTCCTAGTTATGAGGTTTATTAGATTCACTGTGAATTAAAAAAAAAACGAAAAACCTTAAAATACTGGTACATTCCAATATGGGAGGACTGTAACAATAATGCTTCTCTAGATTTCTGAAGTACCTTTCACCCAAGGTCAGCACTGACTGTCCCAGGAGGTCCACAGAGTGATGGAGAGAAGCCTTGCCCTCCACCTTATGGTACATAGAAGGCAGCTCCCAGCACCCATGCAATTTGGCCACAGCTGAGGGAAAAATAATGGGGGAAGTCTCGTAAATACTTCGCCCAGGTTAAGGTGACAGGGAGAATATAATTGTTAAGCTTGCCTAAGTCCCTGGATGATAACCTTGCTTTTTGGAGAAAGTGAGAATGGGTGCCTGTTGGTAAACATTTAACCGAAAGGTTCAGTGTCCACGTAAGGACTAGTACTGTGCTGGAGCATCAATTTAATGACAGCTCTCACAAAGCGAAAAATTCATTTATTAAATTAACCACCACAATACCTTCTCCTAATGTGTTTATATGGGTATTCAATGTGCTATGGTAATTTAAGATCGCACTCTCCATTGAAAAGTTTGCAGAGACATTAAATAATGGGAAAATTAGGGGTGAAGAGGCATCTTCAGGACATCCCTCTTACAATTCAGAACTGCTAGCTCCCAACTGCTTGCTTGCCTGCCTAGCTGATTGCCCATAACCACTTCTGCCTGCCAGCCTGATCACCCTCTAATCACTATCCTGCCAGCTTGATCGAGGCCTAACTGCTCCCCTGCCGGCTCAATTGCCCCCAACTGCCCTCCCCTGCAGGCCTAGTTGCCCCTAACTGCCCTCCCCTGCCAGCCCAATTGCCCCTAACTGCCCTCTCCTGCAGGCCTTGTCCCCCCAACTGCCCTCCCTTTTAGGCCTGGCCCCTCCCAACTGTCCTCCCCTGCTGGCCTGATCACCCACAACTGCCCTCCCCGGCCGGCCATCTTGTGGTGACTATCTTTGACCACATGGGGGCGGCCATCTTGTGTGTTGGAGTGAGGGTCAATTTGCATATTACCTCTTTATTGTATAAGATTATATAGGATTTATTATGTGCCGAGCACTACTCTGAATACTTTCTATACATTTACCAGATAATCCATACAACATTCCTAAGCCATAAGCACTATTCATCACAGCAGGAGTCTTCATAAGCTCCTCCCTCCTCACTCTTCTCCATTAAACCTTATTTTGCTTCTTGGGTAAATTTGGGTCCTAGAGTTTTTCCAAAGCTGAGCTCAGCGGCCCTTGATTCTCCAGTGTCTGTTTCTCCTTGACAGTGCCGCCTATTAATTCTGCCCGGAGTGGGAAGAAGGGTGGAACCACATTCGGCTGCTAAACGATGGGCACCAGACGTTGGTTCCCTCTCACAGGATGCTGGCCGAGACAACTTCACAAGCAGTCTCTCCAAGGAGCAGGGCTGGCCATGTCTGGCTCAGACCCACAGCCCTGGAAACCGCCTCCGGAGGTTCTCCTGCCGCCCCCTCCTGTCTCAGACAGCGCTGTGCTGAGCCCCCGCACAAACGGTCCTCTGTCCTGGGTTCAAAAGAAATTACTGGAAAGTCTCCCTGGGGAATGCACCGCCTTTCCCCACAAGCCTTCCCGGGCTCACAGTGCGGACTCAGTCACTATCCTGCACTCCATGCGGAGCTGCCCTGCTCAGACCTCCGCACAAGACGCCGACCTGACCTTTGGGGAGTTTACAGTTTTATTAGAAGAAAAAAATGTTAGATTCTGATTAGTTTAGCGACACAGTCCAATGTTTACACAATTTATTAACATGTTTCAGCTAGCAGAGAAAATGCTTCCTAAAAATCACAAGTGCTCAAACTGCCACCATCTGCCCCCCAGCGGGTGGCTGACAGTGAAGGCAACACACATGATGATGTCACAGTGTCTGCAAGCTGGAGTGTTTTCTGCGAACATTCGGTATATTAAAAAGCAAAATGAGATGTGTGCAATACGGGGCAGAAAGCCGAAACACCCCTGGGGAGCAAAGGCTGGACAAATAACCAGCCAGAGGCCTGGGAAGGTCCCCCTCAGGGAAGGTGCTCCGGACGCCGGAGTTCCCTGTGATTGATCTCTGCCATTCCTTCTACCTAAAGAGATGGAAACAGCGCCTCGGCCTCTCTGTCCCACTCTTCACTGACTCTGCAGCCTCTGCCAAGTCTGCCCTTCGACAGAGTGAGCGCCTCGGCGCCCCCGCCCCCAGGCTCTTCCAGGCTCCGTGTGCCTGTTTTCCACGCTTTTCACCATTTTTCCTGAACTCCTCCGACTTTATCCAAGGGTCCTGCTTAATCTGAATAGCCCCAAAGTGAAGGCAATGCTTTAACAAAGGCCTCGAGAGGTAAAACTTAATACAAAGACTTCCTGGTGGCTGGAGAAGGAATACTGCAGCCAAATAAAATTAATAAACTTTCCACAGTTTGTCTAAGTGCCTTATAAGTAATGTACTTACCAAAATGCTCACCCAGAGTGGGCTGGAGCACACGAGGAACTGGAGCTGGAACTGGAGCTCTCCCTATAATTTGGCCCACATGGACAGGGATCAGAGATTCAGTGACCAGCCCTGGCCAGTGTTGCTCAATGCGCAGAGCATTGCCCCATCCACAGAAAGATTGTGGTTCGATTTCTGGTCGAAGGAAGGGCACATACCTGGGTTGCAGATTTGATCCCTGGCCCTAGTTGGGCAAATGCGGGAGACAACCAGCCCCCACCCCCACCCCTCCTCTTCTCTCTTTCTCTCTCTCTCCTTCCTTCCCTCCCTTCCACTCTCTCTAAAAATCAAAGGGGGGGGGGTGGATCTTGGATGAGGATTAACAACAACAAAAGTTCAGTGACCAATACTTTGGCCAAATTTCTGGGACCCAGATGAACACATTAGGCAAATAAAAGCCTATAGTATCTAAGGCCCCTGTAAAAGTTACATTTCCATGAACTGAACTAGTGGTCTTAGGAAGGTTTGAGGTAGAAAGGGGGGTTGGGAGAGACAAGAGGACCAGATGTGAACATAACCAAAAACAGTGCAGTTGGCACTTCAGAGCACCTTTGTTGGCAAACTTAGCGTAGAGCCAGAGATTTAATGGATCAAAACACAAAGCCACCCTCTGATGACTAAAGACAGCACACATGAAGCACGCAGCCGGGGAAGGATTAAGCAAATGTAAGCTATTATTCTATCAGCAGCACATTGCTGACGGACAAGCACAGTGATAAATGAAGGGAAAACTTAGTCGTAGCATGTCAGACATGGAAGGGAGTGTGGGAGGGACTTCACCCACCAGACCTCCTGTTTCCAAACCAGGACAGGCTTCCCTGCAGTGGTACCCATGCCCTGGGTCTCCAGCTGACCTGACTGGCTGGGTCCCTCAGGACTTTCTCTTTAGCCTCTGCTTGTCCACAGAGGGGGCCCCTTACCTCTTAGGCAGGCTGTGTGCATGGGTGCAGTGGAGGCTAGCAGTGGGCCAGCTGGGGGAGGCCTGTCTAATTTGGAGAGGGAGTATTAGAAAGCCCGTTAACCCTGTACACCTGAGCCTTCCCTCAGTCCAGCTTCTGTCAATAATAAAACCTTTCTTTTGTTCTCCTGTCTCTCAATTCTGAACTCAGGAGGACAAGAGAGGGGTTGTGTTTGCCCCATTCCCTAAACCCTAACAGGGATGCAGAAGTTCTATCTTCCCAGAATCCCCATCACCTGCCATGCGCTCCTCCTTCACAGTCATGGATGCCAGAGGAGTGCACAGCCATCTCAGCTGCTTCCGGGCAGCAGAGAGCACGCACAGGAGATGCTTGCTGCCTTCTCCCCATTTGGATCTCTGGGACATGCCTAGTGGACAGAATAACAGATGTCTTTCTCCGCCTTCCCCTAGCCTTCCGAAGGCACACATTTTATAATGGCACACCTCTGACAGAGAACCAGGCCACGCTGTGCGTGAAGAGCAGGATGCTCCTTCCAGGAAGAAACCGAGAAACTCCCCTCCTCGCCACATCCCCAGCGAGCTCTGTATTCTGCAGAGAAGGATGGTTTTCCCCAAAGAGACTTACTTAGCCTACAGGGATGGCACCTCCAGGCTCAAAGGTAGTGCTCTCGCCTCCTGTTTTCTGTTACAACATGAATCACTTAAATTGCTGACAGTGACTCGGCCCTGGTACTGACTCTCCCGGTGAGGGTGGACCAGATTCCAGGTGGGGCATGGGTGCTATGCACAATTTTTAAAAGTTTCCAGGTAAGATTCTGAACCACTCTCCACAGGGTTCAGCCCAGATATGAATCCAGGTCTTGTAACTCAGGAGGCATGAACAAGTCCCAGCATCGTTATTTTACCTATAAAATAGAGATAATAAAACCTATCTATCATATAGTCTTATCCTAAGAACTAATCAAGATGACATTTTAAATCAAGACTTTCCGGGATTTCAAACATTCAATGGCGTCTGCATCAATTCAGGCTAGGATATGCAATAACACACAACCCCAGTATCTCAGTCACTTAACACAAACAATTTATTTCTCGCTCATACCAAATATATTGTTGATCCAGGTGACTACCCTAGGCAGCTGTCCTCCCTACTCAGAAATCGGGCTCCCCAGAATTGCAAAATGAGGTCTACTGTGGGATTTCAGTGACAGGGGAAGAGGGCATTAGGTCTCACAAACAATTAAACATTCCCACGTGAAAATAACATAGGTCACTTCTGTCTACAATTCTCTTCTTCCCTCAAGAGTGCATAAGTACAACTCAAAAAGCAATCTAGGATACTCTATATAGATCAGGGAAGGTAGCCCAGAATAGGTAAGTTACTAAGTAAGAAGTGGAAATTACCTCCCTCCCTCCAAAAAGCAGTAGGTAGGCAATAAGACATGCCCATCGTAAGAGAGGGCTCAAAGGCTTTGTCTTTGAAAGACACCAACCACCACCGTCACTGCAAAAGCAACCTGGCAAAACAAAACCAACACAAAAGGGATTTGTCCTACGAGCGTATCTTAGCTGGCTTTCAAGGATGAGCTAACTCTCTGTCCTGAGACTCTGGGCGTTCTCCACCTGAAGGTACTGACTTAGTGACTACCTGTAAATAGGAAAATGATTAAACTGAGCTGGATGTAAAAGTTCTAGAATGAAGCGCGATACCACACAACATGACCAGCACACTCCCATGCCTGGTACGTGCATTCCCCTTCTCCCCTTTGGCTCTCAAAATAGCTGAACATCTGGGAAGGCTGCAAGCGAATAGCTGTTAGAAGTAAGGCGAGCCCCCCAAGTCAGGGGTCCTGGTAGGATACAAAACACTCGGGAGCCAGGCAGCAAGACAAACATATTGACTTCTACGTAGCAGGGTGCACACCGAGCAGACTGTCTGCTTGGCTTTATAATCCCTGATGCATGCGACCTGTTCTTTGCTCTTGATTGGAGCTCAGGTGCATAGTCTTTCCAACTGGCTAATTCAAAGGGTGGCCCCCAGGGGAGCTGCAAGCCATTTGGCCAACATGGTGGCTGCCAAGTCATGCGGACCAAAATTGGGGATGTCTAAAAATGTTCTTTGACAGAAAAGATGACTTGTTTATTCTCACATACCTAATGGCCTATACTAATTTTTAAAAAGTTTAAGCCAATTTTCTCTGATCAACTCTGAAATAGGACTTGTTACTGAAGGGGACAGAGCCTTAACCCAGCAGGATTCTCGTAACCCAAAGGCCTGTGACGGCTTCCTTGGGTCCTATGCTCCCAGGCTTCCCACAAATGCACTGCTAACAGCAGTCAGAGGGGCTTACAAAGGAATCCATCCAACAGCAGCTTATTTTTGTTGTGTTTTTTACTAAATAAGCTCTGAAACCCAAAGTTAAGAGGTGTAAGAAGAGGAAGTTTTGGATCTGAAGTTCCTGTTGACTTAACCAAATATACAAAAATATTTCACCTGACTTCACAGAAGATTTCTTATACATTTATTTTATTTTATTGTTCTTTCCGCATGAACAATATGCCCATCTCTCTACCTCTCAACTCTCTTTCCCTCCTGGCAGGGCTTTTCCTGCTTTGAGTAACCACAGTTTGGGACTACTCACATCCCCAGTGCTTAGAATAAGTGCATCATTCTGCTCCTTGGAGTGTCTGTTTTCCAGCAACATCCCAAATACAAACCTGAAGTCAGCCTTGGGCGGCGAGAGGGACCGCTCTGCTGCCAGGTCACATGGTGAGCAGGTCTCTGGCTTCACTTCTGTCCAGGGTCCCACTGCAATTGTGAAGGTGGAGGCTGGCATTGGCATGGTTACATAGTAATGCCAGCTTGAGCACCCTATAAACAGAAAGAGAAAAATCACAATGAGACCCATGTATGATTCTGGACCTTGCTTGTATCTTTTCTCTTTAGGCCATTAAAGAACTTGTGTCCTAAGATAGTTTGTATGAGCCAGTTCTTGGAGGTGGGCCGTGTTAACTGAAGGGGCACTATTCCAGGTCTCAGGAAGAGAAATGATAGTTTCAGGGCAACGAGGGAGGTTTGGATCTATTCCAAGCATCAGTTTGAAGCCATTCAAGCGAGGCTATAAATGTAAGGAACGGGGGACCAGCCCAATATATTAACAGATAAAATGAATGAGGAATATAAGATAAGACCTGGAGTTCCTGAGTTAACTGGTGGTTGAGGTGATCACTAATAGCTGCAAACACACAAAAAAAGTATAGGTTGTATGCTTCTATAGAGACGAAAAAAAAAAAAGAAAAAAAAAAATATATATATATCTTATTCATCCTATTGCCTAATACAGTACTTGGCATAAAAAAATAAGAAATAAAAATAGATGCTCAGTTGAATGAATGGATGGATGATTAATAAACAAATGAATTATCACTTCTATTCTGCTAAACTCTTTTGTCTGAATTCAATTCAAGCCCATCTAAAATGGATATAGCAGAATACAATGACACTAGAGAAAGGAGATACCTAGGTTTTAGCCCCAACTCTGAAACTAATTAACTGTGGAAGTTCAGGTCTCATATTCCTCATCCTTTTTAATCTGTTAATATATTGGCTGCTCCCCCTTTCCTCACTGAGCAGGTGAAAAGCAGGCCTGGAAAGGTTCCATGGAGCCAAGGAGTCCCAGCTAGTTGTAACAAGGCTGGACTTACAGTTGGGGCTCCCCACCCCAGCCAGGGGTGTGCCCACCAGTTAGTCCACACCTTAGAGAAGGCTTTTTACCAAGGAATAAATGATTGATAACTTGTAACACTATACTGCCTTACTTCTGAGGTAGAAAAATGATTTTAATGTTTTTGAAATCTGAATGTGTCATACAACCTGATTTTCCATAGTATTTTTCTCTGAGTATCTGCTATAAATTGTCTTAAGAGGAATTACTATCACCTCATATTATCGAACACAGTTCTTCACCACTCATTCTCTTCATGTTCCATTAGAGTAACACAACCTAGACTCTCTTTCAGCCCCTCATTAACCCCATTGACTCCTCCAGTCCATCCCCACCTCCGACCCCAGGCCCTCACCACCCCACTATCTGTGTCCATGGGCACTCCTTTTAAAAACAAAAACAAAAAAACACACCAGTTTTATTTTTTAAATTGATTTTACCAAAAGAGGAAGGGAGAAAGAGAGAGAAAAGCATCACTATAAGAGAGAAACATCAAACAGTGCACCAGTAAGCATCCCAACCTGGATCAAACCCAAAACCTGGGTATGTACCCTGATCTAGAATCAAACCTGTGACCCTTCAATCAATCCTGTGCACAGGATGATGCTCCAACCAACAGAACCACACCAGCCAGGGTAAGGCACGCTCCTCTCTAAAGATGAGAGACTTTGGGCAAGATGGCAGGGTAGGTAAACATGAAATGGGTACTTCCCTCCTCCCAACCACATTATAATTAAAACTAAACTATAGAAAACCACCATTCCATTCAGAACTGCCTGAAATCTGGCTGATTGGAAGTACTACAACTAGGGAATTGAAGAAGCCAAATCAAGACTGGTAGGAGGGGTAGAGACATGGAAAAAGCTGGTCCCACACCCACATATGGCAAAGAAAAATCATGAGAGATATTTTGGCCACAGAGATTCCCCCCCCCCCCCCCCCGAATTCCCCGTTGAGAAGTGATGGGTCCCAGTCCAAGGACATCAGCCCAGGGTACCAATGTCAGGAAAAGAAGTCCCTATAACTTCTGGCTATAAAAATCAGCCGAGGGCCGAAACCGGTTTGGCTCAGTGGATAGAGCGTCAGCCTGCAGATTGAAAGGTCCCAGGTTCGATTCCGGTCAAGGGCATGTATCTTGGTTGCGGGCACATCCCCATGGAGGGTATGCAGGAGGCAGCTGATTAATGCTTCTAACTTTCTATCCCTCTCCCTTCCTCTCTGTAAAAAAATCAATAAAGTATATTAAAAAAAAAAAAAATCAGCCGAGGATCATGGCTGAATGACACAGAGGCTGCTGGAGTCCCAGATAGTTCCTCTTAAAGGGTCCACATGCAGACTTACTCAGACTCATTCCCTCTGAGCTCTAATGCTGGACAGCAGCTTAAAGGACAACAGAGAAAGATGAGGAAGAACTAAATTATTTGCTAAGCAAGAGCTGAGGGTGGGGTAGCTTTCTCCCAGACTGAAGTGCTGGCAAAAGCCATTATTCCTTTGATGATCCCTCCCTTTCAGAGCTGGCAGTCAGAGTCTACATCAACCCGGCTAACACTGTTTTCCCCACCACAGTGATTTCCTGAGGCTCTGCCCCACCCAACTTTCAGGCCCACCCAGGCTGTTTCCATTGGCTTTTCCATACCAATGGCCTGTCTTGGCTAATGCTTCAAATTTTCCTAAAATCTCTCAACCAAGCAGCATCTGGCCTTGGTTCATAGCTTGGCCTCTCCTGGGCAACTCCAAGCCCAGAACAAGTAGCAGCCATTTGCAGACCACTTTGTAGCTAATGCTGGGTGGCCCTGGGCAGTGGTTACCTTGAATTGCACCTCCCTGGAGGTCCCAGAGCCAGCGCACCCAGTGAATAGTTTCAGACAATGATGAAGCATCACTCTCCAACCACCTTCATAAGTCACACACATACTAGGGGTACCAAGTAATAATGCGGATTTTTTTCAGTAGATGGAATTACACATATGTTGATATATATGCAATTGGATATGTATGTTATTTTCTTGTATTGACAACAAGCTTCAAAACTTCATATGTCAAATTTGCTGAAGGTGTTAACATCATAGATATTTTTGTGCTTAAAAATGTCAAATTTTGTGCCAAAAAAAAAGAGCACTTACAGGAAGTTGTACTTCATTACTTTATTTTGAAGAAAAGTGCTGCTGAAAGTTATCGTATACTTCGGGAAGCTTATGGTGAACATGCTCCATCTCAAGATACTTGTGAACGCTGGTTTAAACACTTTAAAGTGATGATTTTGATGAGAAAGACAAAGAATGTCCAGGTCAACCGAAAAAGTCTGAAGACCAACAATTACAAGTATTGTTGGATGAAGATGCATGTCAAACTCAAAAACAACTTGCAGAAAGATTAAACATTGTTCAGAAATCAATTTCCGATTGTTTACAAGCAATGGGAAAGATTGTAAAGGAAAGAAAATGGGTGCCACATCAACTGAACAAAAGACAAATGGAAAACCGAAAAGTCATTAATAAAATGTTGTTTCAACCGCACGAAAGAAGGTCTTTTTTTGCACCAAATTGTGACTGGCAATGAAAAGTCGATTTATTTTGAGAATCCCAAATGTACAAAATGATGAGTTGATCCAGGTCAACCATCAACATTGACTGCAAGGCCAAATCGCTTCAGAAAGAAGACAATGCTCTGCATTTGGTGGGATCAGGAAGGTGTGTATATTATGAGCTTCTAAAACCAGGTGAAACTATTAATACTGATTGCTACTGACAACAAATAATGAATTGGAACTACGCTTTGATTATAAAATGACCAGAATATGCCAGAAGACACAACAAAGTAATTTTGCTTCAAGATATTTCAAAAAATTTTGCCTGGGAAGTATTAACCCACCTGTCGTATTCACCAGACCTTACTCCTTCAGATTACCACTTGTTCCGATAGATGGCACACGTACTTTCTGAGCAGCACTTCAAAACATACAAAGTAGTGGAAAATTGGGTCTCTGAATGGTTTGCCTCAAAACAAGAAAAGTTCTATTGGGATGGTTTCCATAAATTACCTGAAAGATGGGAGGAAATAAGTAGCTAGCGATGGACATTACTTTGAATAAAGCACTTTTCATGTTTCTCTTGAAATTATGTTTTCTTTGATTACAAAATCCACATTATTAACTGATACACCTGGTAAAAGACAGACTCAGTGGGTAGCAGAACCTTACTGGGGTGGGCCACAGCACAACTGGTCATCCATGGTGATCGGAAGTTGGTGGTTGGTGGTCACAGACAGCTTTTGCAGCTGATTTTTGGTAAATCCCTGGGGTAAATCCCTCCCATTGACATGCCAATAGTAATCAAGGCCCAACTACAAGAGGAGGGTTACCCAGCCCACGTGGGGGCACACCTGGAGTGTGCAGCTTAGGAGATTGTGGAGGCTGTGCCACTGGGCAACACAGGGCATCTACTTCATTAGGCGACTCCACCACGCCTGGGAGATGTAGCAGATCTACCTCATACACAGAAACAAACACAGGGAGGCTGCCAAAATAAGGTAACAAAGAAATATGTCCCAAAAGAAAAAAAAACAAAAAAACTTCAGAAAAAGAACTAAACAAAATGGAGACAAGTAATCTACTAGATGCAGAGTTCAAAACACTGGTTATAAGGAGGCTCCAGGAACTTAGCGAGGACCTCAACAGCATAAAAAAAGGACCAGTGAGAAATGAAGGATACACTAAATGAAATGAAGAATAATTTAGGGGGAATCAACAGTAGAGTGGATGAAGCTAAGAATCAAATCAACAATTTGGAATATACTGAAGCAAAAAAACACTCAATCAAAACAGTATAAAGAAAAAAGAATTTTAAAAAATGAAAATAGTGTAAAGAGCCTCTGGGACAACTTCAAGTGTATTAACATTCATATCATGAGCCAAAACTGGTTTGGTTCAGTGGATAGAGCGTCAGCCTGTGGATTGAAGGGCCCCGGGTTTGATTCCGGTCAAGGGCATGCACCTTGGTTGAGGGCACATCCCCAATGGGGAGAGGGGTATGTGTGTGTGTGCAAGAGGCAGCTGATCGATGACTCTGTCTCATCGATGTTTCTAGCTCTCTATCCTCTCTCTTCCTCTCTGTAAAAAATCAATAAAATACATTTAAAAAATAAAATA